GAGAGAGAGAGAGAGTTAGTAAAACACTCAGATTATGGGAGCTGAGGGTTTGAATACGAACCAATAGAGTTTGTCCTTCGCTATATTTTGTACCATATGTTTTACATCATAATAGTGTTTGATCTTAAAAGGATTCTCTTTCGAAAATGAGTGTTTGAAAAATTGCAATCTGACTTGGTATGGTCGAGTCACCCATTGTTTTTTTGCTATTTTCTAGTAAGTTTTTATTTCTTTGTGACAGTGTATTCACTTCCGAATTGGGAGTGGGGATCGTCCGATTCAGATCAGGGGATTCGTATTTGGGGCCTCGGCCAATTGAGGGTCCAATTAAGATTTTTTACACACAATGTGAAATAAATATTTATCCCTATTTTTTTATGAACTCAAATTTAATTGCCTTTTTAATCTTGAAACACTTTTCTTGCAGGCTCTTTCCTTAGTTTTCAATAAAGTGAAGAGGACTTTGGATCTTGTAAATGATCAATTAGTGAAAGTGAAAGAGAGTAACGATGGTTCGAATGAAAGACTTGGATTTTTGGAGGAACTCAAATTTGGTATTGAGAATGGGACTCACGCTGATATTGCGTTGAAACCTCAAGATGGACCTGCAGCACTTGCACACAAAGCAGTTTTGGTAAACTGCGTTTTCTTACTACGAAATTTTTATAATCTAAATATTTTACGATTACTCCTAGCCATTAGATGTCAAAGTAATTAGCTAGGGGACCTAAGAAGCACGCATTCCAAAAAAAAAATCTCTCGGATTGGAGACGTCTCATTAAGGGACTATTTGACCAACACTCAAAAGGGACGCTATATAATATACATCATTTTGTTTGTTATTTTTATTTTTATTTTTTTGGGTCAGGCTGGACTCCAGCAAGTTAGTTGGACTTGCCCAAGCAACTTGCCTTGGCCAATGGCTGGGTACCTTTACCTAGTTGATTTTTTGTAGATTGTATATAATTGAAATTGAAAAATGTCATGAGAAGATCACACAAGGTTCTGGTAATATGGTGTAGAAGATTAAAGGTAGTACCCTCTGGGACCTTAAGATAGGTCTAGGGGTGGCAAGGTTTCAGGCCTGGGCACGACCAGCTCTGACTCTAGTCCCTATAGGGTAGGCTCAGGACATGTCACAGAGGCCCTGGTGCAAGCCTGGCCCTAGTCCTATCATGTCCGGGCCGGACCAAGCCAAATAAAAAACAAAAAAAATAAAAAAAAACCTAAAAAGACAAGGTCGGATTTGGCCAGCCATGGCTCAGTCCGGTTCTACCCTCAGGGCATGGTTGCTCAGCCCTGGCATGGGCCTCAGGCCACATCATGTGGCCCAGGCCCTAGTTCCTTAGGGCTGTGCTGGCTGATGTGGCTAGGCCACCTCGCCCATTGCCACCTCTAGCTAGGGGCTTGAACAATGACACATGGTCAAGGCGCGAGTCACAGATGCCCAATATACACAAACTAAAAGTTGTGTATCTTGTTTTGGTTTGTTCAATGTCAGCTATCCTTATTTTATGACACATTATTTTATCATGCATGTATATATATGTCCAGAATTCATTGATCATTCCATTACTTAGTGTTAATTTGCATCTAGATCTTTTGGGGCCCTTTTGGTAACAATATTATTACTAATTGGTTGCCATTTTATCTGTTAATATGAGACATTAATTACACAGGTGACAGTAGAAAAAAAAAAAAAGGAAGAAACTTCAACACTTAATAAGAGTTATATTTGCTGTTGCAGTCATCTAGATCTCCCATTTTCAAAGCTATGCTAGAAATTGATGAATGTAAAGCAGTTCCCAAAGAGACTATCTCCATTCCTGGTATGAATTCCCAAGAGCTCAAAGCCTTCTTGGAATTTCTGTATAGACCTGATGAGGAATTCAGTAGACATGCTCATGCACTCATGATTGCAGCCGATAATTTCAGTATCCATTTTCTTCAAAAGCAGTGCGTGCATCAAATCGTTCAGACTCTTGACTCATCAAACGCTCTTAAGGTACTGGAGCTCTCCGAGAAATGCTCTAATGTAACCCTCAAGGAAATTGCCTTGAAGACCATCGTCATGTACCAAGATGAGATATTCTTCTCTGAGAAACATGTAAAGTTTGCTCACTCGAACACGCAGCTCTCAGTAGCGATCACTAGGGCCCGTATCCAAGGATCATAGGGCTAAAACCCACATTTGAGGTGGAATGTTTCATGATACTGGTAAGTAACTTACATGAATTTTTTTTAATAAATTTTCTCTTTTTCAGTTATATTTTTCATTGCCATGGCAGATTTCTTATGTCGTTGATCTACAAATGATTATGTTGGGTGATTTTGTCATATCATTTTGAGGCTAATTTCATCATGAGCAGTATAATCTGTTTTTTTTGGTCTCTTCATTGGGAAATCCATGGTAATAGTTATTCGATGGTCTATAAATGATGGGGGAATGTGTAGGAGAAAATAGAAAAGAAATGAAGACGAGAAAATTGGAGGAGCTTGTTTAAGATAAACTCAAAAGGGGATTGTAAGTTTTGTTTTACTGATGTAGAAACCTTGGCTCTCTTATTTGTAATGCAAGTTATAAGGTTTGTTATTAGGTTAACCTTGGCTCTCTTATTTGTAATGCAAGTTATAAGCGTTGTTATTAGGTTCCAACCGACCACCGAACTAATTAGGGTTTTGCTCAGTCAAAACCAATCCAACTACTGATTGAATTGGTTGGACTTTATTTTCAAAAAAAGAAAAGAAAAAGATATAATAGGTTAAAAATATAAAATGCATTTAATTAATTTGCTTGACTTTATTTAGCTGGTTGAATCGGTTAAAACCTACTAAACGAATCGGCTAAAACTAGTTAATAATTGGTTTTGACCAATTTTGAACAAACCTGATTTTTTACCTTTGATCAGATTGGCTAAGGGTAGAGTTCTGTAAGAAACATATTTCTCTTCCTTTGTGGCTTGCACTGGTGATTTTGCAATTTGTATTTATAATAATTGTCACTACCCCTGGCTTGATAATTAGGGTGTTTATAAAGCATTACACTTGAATGCCACACCAAATTTAGGGTTACGATTCATTAAGTTGATTGTACAAATTAGAAATCACGGTTTATTGTGGTATTTATTGAACAAATTCGAAATCAAAAGATCTACAAATATAGAGATCATGCACCTAAATGTCCTGCTTGTAACTTGGCTATCTATCCTTTTCTGTTGATTCTTTTAATGATGAAACTGCGTAATTTCATTTAATTTTTGCTTAAACAATGTGCTGAGAATAATGCAGTATATTACAAGGCGGCCTCATTTTGAAGGTAACTTTATCCTTTCTTTGGTAGTTTATTTGTCCAAACTCTATAGTATATTGTACTAAGCTGGTAACTTGGAGGAGCAGTGGTCATTTTTCTTCCTGATCCAACTTGACTCAGGCCTGTTGAAATTTCTTTTTCTGGGTCCTCACACTTCAGATAATTGGTGATGGTAAACAGATGCTCGTACACAATCACTTTTTGTTATGTTATTTCAAAATCTAAATACTTCGGGGCTCTTATTTTTTGTGAGATGAACATGGCTTACAACTTTTGACCCTAGTTATAGCATACATTATTATTTTCAATAACAGTTAACTACTGATTGGACCACCATCAATTCAACTAAATGTCTGACTATGGTTTATCTATAATGTCGGACTATATCTCACAAAAAAACAAAAATTGTATCAATAAGTGTAACCAGGCTTCCTCAGCTTCATAGGTTCTGCTTCTGCTCGATGTTTGGAGGAGGTTTAGAGATCTCAGAAGAGGCTAAAAGCCTGACTTCTCTTTCACCCAACAACAAATGCATCTGTATAGAATTGTCAACCGTTGACATAAATGATGCTTCTATCGTATCAAAGGCTTTAAAATGACCTTGAACGCATAATCTGGAAATACTAAAAGAGAAATGAATCACAAAATCGGTGGAAGACTTCATCGCTACTCTGTTTTTCTTGATAATATGGTCGTCATTATATTTTAACTGTGCAGGTCTATTTTTGTCTCCATTTCGCATGTGCAGCGGGGGGCCTATTCTGCAGCTGTCGTGTTCGCCTAAGACGGAGTGGCCTACGGGACCGATACTGGCTCCATTTTTGCAACTTTTTGACCAATGGCCCACTTTTTTGGTTTTAGTTGTGCAGTTCATTTTCTGGTTCCTTATCTGTCCAGGTTTCCTCTCCCCGTTTGTTATATATAGTGTGCTGTAAAGAGTGTCCTGTTTGTGTTGTGTACTACAGAGTGCCCAACTTGTGGGACCCCATTTTTCGCTCCTCCTACCCTTTTTGCGGATTTTTTTTTCTCCATAGTTGCCCTTATATCCAGCAACGACAACACCAAACAGTAGGCCTATTCTTATGCAATCACCAAGAGCTTCTGGTGTTCACATTATCAGACAACTAGCTCTTTTGTTAAGTTGCTATCTGGTAGTTATAACATGTAGTCCAGTATTTGAAATACCGGACAATTGGAAAGCTCTTTATTTTAAATTTTTATTTACAAATATTTTTGACATCAAAATTTTGGGGTCTTATTAATATATATTTGTACTGTACATAATATTGTAAATATCT